CGCTGCTCTCAGAGCACGCTTCGTTATTTCGCACCGCCGTCGCTCTCAGAGCGATACCCCCAAACTCGCGTGATTACGGCCGTCGCCCTCAGGGCTCGTGTTGTTGCGTGGTGCTTTGTTTTCTGTTGCGGCTGCGCATCTGCTTCTGCGTCGCCACTGGTGCGGCTCGCCCGCGCGATGCCATGCGCGCGGCAGCCGTGCCGCAGCAACCACCGACCAAAGAAGGATGTGCCGTTCGCCTAGGCTGGCTACGAAGGGCATTACAAAGCTTCTCACAAGCAGCGGCTCCCACACGAGCGCGCGGCAAAACAAAGGAGTCGCGCGATGGCCTGCCTTCGAGGACGAGAAAACCGTCCGCGACGACATGTGCAAAACGTGTCTCACGGAACGCGCCCGCCAGGAGGACGAAGGGCGGTCATGGGCCAGCGTTGATTTTTCACCCGTGCGTTGCGTGGCGTGAATTGGCCGGGCGAAGCGCAGCTCAGCTTTAGCCGCCAGTTGCACAAGACGGTTCCAACGCAGATTCCCTTCAAATTGGCCGTTTCGTTTGAGACGTCCTCGAACAATTGAGATGTTGGCATCGCATGCTTGAGACGCCATTCGTTAAACATAAGGGTCGCTCCAGGCATCTCCGAACAATAAGCTACTAGGCTTGCTCGCGAAATCTACCGAGTCTTTGGACATTGCCATTTCGCTTGGGACAGGTTCGAAACATTGAGGTGTCGAAGGAGTTGTTTCAAGATGTTTTATCTGAAACATGGGGTTCTCGCCTGAGACGCCCTCCAAAACATGGGATGTAGAAGTGGGTCGCGCAATAGCTCGAACTATCGGAAACGACATTGTCCAACACCTGAGATTTTGGAAGAGTTGTTCAAAGACGCTGTATGTCGAAACTGACGCTCTCGTTCGGGATATCGTCGTAACGTGGATAACGTTGAGATCGCTGGCGCTCAAGACGTCCTTCAATCACAGATTTCGGAGTGGACCCTGAACCAATGAAAATGGGCGTTTCGCTTGAGACATCTTCAGAGATTCCGAGTTTGGAGCGAATTCTGAAACAGTTCCATTCGGGGTTAGGGGAGCCATCCGCATTCGCACGGCGAGGCAGTGTAAAACGTCAGGTGGAATAAGGCGCACAGGTTGGTGTCGCGCCCCTTGCAGGCGCGCTTTATTATGGTCGCGCACGCAGGCGCGTTTTAATACGGTCGCGTGCACAGACACAGACACAGACACACACACAGACACACACACACACACACACACGCACAGGCACAGGCATATAGGCACTGGCAGATACGCACATACCCACGCACCCGTACAGAGGCCACGCGGTACAGCTGACCAACGCAGCCCGTGCAGGACAGGTTGAAACGATCAGGCGGGCTCATTCTGCCAGGCGGGTGTTAGGAGCCGCTTGCGAGCTACGCCCAGGGCCACCAGGAACTGCCAGAGAAAGTTCAGAAGCCTCAGGATGCCCACAAGCGGCCTATAGATTGCCCCCCATCGAGTAACGCGAGGTTATTGCTGACTGCCCACATCGTTCGCTTCGTGTCTCCTCTCCTACAAGTTCCCTCCTCCCGCACCCTCGTCATCTCGAAGCGTGTGTTTTGTCGCTTTTTAGCAAAGCGCTTCGCTAGAGACATCCTCCCACAGTGGGCATGTTGTATGGTTGTCATTTCTGACGCAAAGTAGCCTTGCAGCGAAAGACATCTCCACAAAACTAAAATGTTAGCCGGCGCTATAAGTCGCAACCGTCGGGGCGTCAGGGAATCCCAGCGATTGCTCCCCATGCGCGCACATTCCCCCCTAACACGCCCCGCACGCACGCCGTGCATCCCCCCCCGCCCGTCCCCCCAGGAGCACACCCCGCACGCGCGCGGCACACACACGCACACTCATACACACACAGAGAACACAACACACACAACATACACACCACACACAACACACACAACACACACAACACACACAACACCCACACACACCGCCCCGCCCGCTTAGCACGCACATTGCGCACGCGCACGCACGCACGCACGCAGCCGCGCACACAAGCACACACACACACAGGCACACGCTTTCACGCGCACGCTAGCACAAAAGCAACCACAGGCAACCACTCAGCCAACGCAATAAATTGCAGCCGTCGGGGTGCTTAGGGAATCCAAGCGACCGCACCCCTTTTGCGCACATTTGTGTCGGGTGCAAGTCCGTGCGCGCGTACGCACGCAAGCTTAGAGAAACGGCGCTTCCCGTTCTTGTCCGGAAAGGTTCCCCTCAAATTGGCTGCTTCGTTTGAGACATTTTTCGAACAAAAACGTGTTTCTTTCTTGCTTGGGGCATGACGATATGACAGGCGTCATGGCCTACGCTGCGCCCCCCCCCCCCATGACGTAACGCTCCCCCCTCCGCGGTGCGCTTTGGGCATTGCCGCCGTGCGCATTGGGATCCGCATAGGTGTCCGCATAGGAATCCGCATTGGAGTCTGGTCCGCAGTCGTCGTCGTTGTTGTCGTGCGCGCGGGCTCGGCTGGAGCCTGCTTTTGGTTCCGTGCCGATGACGGCAATTATTTGGGGGGGTGGAGGGGCCGATGACGTCACGTTTCGCGCCGGCGGCGTCTGGGAATGCCTAGGAAACACGGAGGACGGGTCGCACCAGCATATAGGTGGCGATCTGCACCACAACGCCTGTGTACACCACAGTACCTGCGTGCACCACAGCGCCTGTGTACACCACACCGTCTATGTACACCGCAGCAGTCGCGTGCAAGACAGCGTGTTAGAAGGAACCCTTTATGACACAATGAAACACCCGTGGATTCCGCAGAAAACAATATATATGAATCCTGATGGACAAAAGAGCGCCGCTGGAATCTACGAGTCCTCCCGAGTCCGCCCGCATCATCCTAACTCCTCCCATCGGCGTCCAGGAGGCTCGAGCTAAACTGGCCGTCCGAGAACCAAGTGGGCCGATTCAGTAAACCAGTCTGCGGTACATGCTGAGATTCGCACGTGCGCTGTAGCGCTGACCCGCACGACAGGGTGCAAGGGTGAGGGAGGAGGAGGAGGAAGAGGAGGAAGAGGAAGAGGAGGAAAAAGAGGAGGAGGCAGAGGTGAAGGAGAAGGGAGGAGGGAAACACGTCGCATGCGATTATGCACACTTCTATGGTGTTGCGTATAGCTGTCCGCAGCATATCCTCACTTACATTCTCTTTCTACCTGGCCTATGCACGCAGGCACTGTGGTGTACACAAGTGCTGCGTTGCACGCGGATGTTGTGGTGTAGACAGGCGCTGTGGCGTGCATAGGCGCTGCGGTGCACGCAAGCACTGTGGTGCACACAGGCTCCGTGTTGCACATGGTTGCTGCGGTGTACACATTCGCTGTGGGGTACATCGGCGCTGTAGTGTACGCGAGCACTATAGTGTGCACCGGCCCTGCGTTGCACACGGTTGTTGCGATGTCCTTTTGGCTCAAACGATCGCACGACCGCGCCTCCCCTCCCTTGCTTCCTCCGGGAGGCCTTCGTGATGGCGGCGGCGCGGCCTAGAGGGGCCCACACGGCAGCGGAGGATGGCGCCGCCCTGGTTGCGGCGGCCGTCCGCGCAGCCGTGGAGGCCAGGGTGCCGCGGCGCACGGTTTCGGCGGTGGCGGATGCGGTGGCAGCGGTCGTGCTGTGGTTGCGTGCGCGAGCCGCGCCGCCCACGCCGCTGCCCGCTGCTGGGGCCAGAGGTGCTGACGCGGGCCGCTGCGGCGGCGCGGGCGTCGGCGGGGCATTGAAGCGGCAGGCGACGGCGGCACAGCGTGAGCGGCGTCGTCGCCGCCGCGCGCGCCTTGCTGGTCGACGCGCACTTTTCCGCGGTGAAGCGGCGGCCGAGGCTGCCAGAGGGGCAAAGGACGCGGGCCGCGGGCCCTCCGCCCAGCAGGCCGCGGGCGCGGCCGACGGCGGCGTCGGAGGCGGCGGCCGCGGCGCCGCTCCTCCTGCCGCTCCTCCTGCGGCCGCCGCAGGCCTGCCGCTGGAGAGGGTCGCCGCTGGAGGCGCCCTCGGCAGCGACCGCGACGACTACGACTTCGACGAGGTGATGGACAACTCGTTCGCCGACGCCCTGGTGGGCGGCGCGGTGGAGCCTGCTGCTGCTGCTGCCCCTCGGGCGCCTGCAGCTGGCGGAGCTGCGCCGCGCGGCGGCGGCGGCGAGGCCCGCCTTCGCCAGCGCGCGCTGGCGGCGGGCCTCGACGGGTCCGTCGAGATGCTCGGCTTCTGCTCGCAGGCCCAGATGAAGGACGCGCTGCGGAGGAAGGGCATCGGTTTGCCCCGCAGGCGCGGGCCTGCCGCCCTGCGCCGCCTCCTCCTGCTGGACACGATGCAGAAGGAGCTGCAGGCTTCGACTGCGACGGCGGCGGGCTCAGACTCTCGTGGCTCTTGAGCCGCGCCGCCTGTCTTGGAGGGAGGGGTTGCGGTGGTCTTCCCCCGTTCGGGGGAGGCCCGGCCTGGTGGGTGGCGCGAGCTGCGCCGCCCCAGGTAACGCCCCACACCTCCCCCAGGGAGTGGTTTCGGTGGCCTGCCCCCGTGTTGGGGGCGGCACGGCCTGGCGCATGGTTCTCAGCGCCGTCCCAGGTGACGCCACATACCTGAAGCTGCCGCGGCCCTCGTGCCAGAGGCGTGCCGCGTGCAGAGCGCTGCGCCCACTGCGGTGCGGCGCCCGCTCCCGCCGCGCCGCCTTCGGCCGCGGGCACTTCGCGCGCTGTGCGCGCGCAGGGTGCGTCGGTCACCGCCGTCATCCTGGGGTTCTGCCCCCCCCAAAGAAACGGCTGTTGCGATACACGCAGGCGTTGCGGTGTACATGCGCGCTGTGGTGCACGCTAGCAATGCGGTGTACACAGGCGCAGCGGGGCAGATCGCCACCTACAGGCTGCTCGCGTCGTCGTCGTCGTCTTCGTCGTCGTCCGCTCGTCGGTCGTCGCTCGTCGCGTCGTGCGCGCGGGCGTGGCTGGGGTGCCGGAGCCACACGGCCGGGGGGGGGCGTGACGTCATACCCCGCCACCGCCCCCCCCCCATGACGCCCGTCATCGCCGAATTCAGAGAAACGCGCTCAACATGAGATGTTGAAATCTTATGTTTGAGACTCGTTTCGTTAAACATGAGGCTCTCGCTCGAGACGTCCTGAAGCAATGCGCTGCGGAACTCGCTCGCGACAACGAGCGACTCTTTCGGAATTGCATTTTCGCCTTACGTTTGATCTCAATAGGTTTTATATGAAACATGAGGTTCTCGTATGAGGCATCCTCCAAAACATGAGATGTTGAATTGGGCCGCGAACTAGTTCGAATATTCGAAAGAGCGTGTTCTACCGCTGCTGGCGGAAAACCGGGGGGGGTCACTACCGGTTCGAACCCCTCCCCCCCCCCCTCCGGAAAACCGGGGGGGGGGTCACTACCGGTTCGAACCCCTCCCCCACCCCCCCCCCAGCTCATCATGAAAAGGGGGGGGGTGCCGTCACACCGGTTCGAACCCTTCCCCCCCCCCCCCCCCCTCACGGAAAACCGGGGGGGGCCACTACCGGTTCGAACCCCTCGCCCCCCCTCCCCCCCCCCCACCTGCCTCATCATGAAAAGGGGGGGGGGTTCACTACCGGTTCGAACCCCCCCCCCCCCCACCCCCCCCCCCCCCCCCCCCCCCCCTCGAAAACCGAGTGGGGGTGCGGACAGTGGTGGGGACGGTGTTGGTGGGGACAGTGGTGAGGGGACAGCGGGACAGTGGTGGGGACAGTGGGGGGACAGTGGGGCAGTGGTGGGGACGGTAGTGGTGGGGACAGTGGTGAGGGGATAGCGGGACAGTGGTGGGAACAGTGGGACAGCGGTGGGGACGGTAGTGGTGGGGACAGTGGTGGGGACAATGGTGGGAACAGGGGGGGACAGTGGACAGTGGTGGTGACGGTGGTGGTGGGGACAGTGGTGTGGGGACAATGGGAATGAGGGGGAAACAGTGGGACAGTGGAGGGTACAATGGTGGTGGGGACAGTGGTGAAGGCGGTGGCGAGGACGGCGGTGGGACAATGGGACAGAGGTACAGTGGGGACAGTGGTGGGGACAGTGGGGACAGTGGTGGAACAGTGGGACAGTCCAGTGGGACAGCGGAGGAGTCAGTGGGACAGTGGGGACAGTGGGGATAGTCGGGCAGTGGTTGGGGCCGTGGAGACAGTGGGGAGAGTGGAACCGTGGTGGGAACAGTTCTGGGGACAGCGGGGACAGTGCGACAGTGGTGGGGCCACTGGTGGGGACAGTAGGGGCGGTGGTGGAACCAGTGGGGACAGCGGTGGTGAGGACAGTGGTGCTGGAAACACCAGTGGGGGATGTGATGCGGACGGTGGTGGGGACCGGGAGTCGTTTGCTGGCGGTGAGTAGGGGGGAGGGGGGGGGGGGGTTCGAACCGGTAGTGACCCCCCCCGGTTTTCCGGATCCGGAGGGGGGGGGGGGGCGGGGGGGAGGGGCTCGAACGGTCTAGTGACCCCCGGTTCGAGCGGAGAGGGGGGGGGGGAGGGGGGATGGTTAGGGAAGGGGGGGGGTTTTGCCGGGGGAGAGGGAGGGGAGGGGGGGGGGGGGGGTCAGGCAGGGAGGGGGGGGATTTTCGGAGGGGGGGGGGGGGAGACCCCCGGGTTCCGGAGGAAAAGGTTGGCAATTTTCCACAGTAAAGCGGCGGTGGATCACGCTTTCTCGAATATTCAGAACACGGGCGTTTCGCTTGAGACGTCTTCCAAACCATAAAATATTAGAAGAGTTGTTTATCGATGCTTTGTGTCGAACATGAAACTCTTTCAATATTTTGTATTGTCGTAAAATAGAGATAGATCACTGGCGCAATCACCACAGTCTTGAAAAGACGCTCTTGTTCGAGACATTCATAAATCATCGATTTCGGAAGGGGCCCTGAACCGATGCAAACGAGCGTTTCGCTTGAGACGTCTTCAGAACGGCCAGGCGGATTACGGTACACAGGTTAGCGCTGCGCCCCCTTGCATGCACGCGTTTATACGGCCGCACACACAGGCACGCACATGCACACGCGCACACGCACACGCACAAGAACACACACGCACGCACGCATGTACGCACAGGCATACGCGCACACAGGCATATATGCACATACGCACGCACCCGTACAGAGGCCACGTGGTACAGCTGACCAAAGCAACCACAGGCAACCACTAAGCCCAAGCAGGACAGGTCCCCCCCACACAAAAACTGTACTTCCGCTCGAGACATTCCCGAACAAGCGGGATCTTAAAGGACGTTGTTTGAGACGCTTTATGGTAAACAGGAGGTTCCCGCTCGAGACATCCTCAACAATTGAGATCTCCAGGGATCTTGCGAAGTCATAGGAGTCTGAGAAACGAGGCTCTCGCTCGAGACGTGGTCGGAATAATGGGATGGTAGACGACCTGGTTCAAGACGTCTTCTGTTCAACATGGGGCTTTCGCTCGAAACATCCTCGAATTATCGAGCAGAAGGAGGAAGAAAAGGAGGAGGAACCGGAGGAAGAGGAGGAGGAGGAGGAAGAGGAGTTGGAGGAGGAGTTGGAGGAGGAGGAGGAGGAGGAGGAACTGGAGGAGGAGGAGGAGGAAGAGCACAACACGCTCCCAGCGCATGAAAGCCCATGTAGAGCATACGCCACGTAAACAATACACCACTTACAGTAAACACAAAGCATACGCATACCCTGCGCCCCTCCCGCTCGCCCGCCAGGCACTCCGTATGCACGCCGTACCCCCCCACGCCCGCCCGCCAGGCACACGCCCCGTATGCACATTGCGCACCCCCTCCCCCCATCCCCCTCGCACACACATTGTAAACGCACGCACACAAGCGCACACACGCATACAGTCGCACACACAGGCACACACACACACGCACACACACATGCACGTGCACATACGCACACACACACACACACACACACGCACAGAAACATACAGTCGGCCCGGATTAGTAGGTCGACCCTGCCAAATCAAGGGCATGTTTGTGTCCTGTGTCTCGCGACCCGTGCTTCCTGCGATCCTGTGGCAATGTGACCCTCGGGAGGGTCTTGTGTCCTCTCGCGTGTCTTGTCCAATGAAATCTGACTGTAGGCCACGCGCAACACCTGAGCAAAGCAACCGCAGGCAACCACTAAACACGAGCTACCAACGGCGACCATCTGGTCATTTAGGGGAGTCCAGCGACTGCATCCATGTGCACGCATGCGCGTTGGTTGCAAATCCACGCGCGCGTGCGCACGCAAGCTCAGAGAAGCGGCGCTTCCCGTTCTTGTCCGGAAAGGCTTGGCATTCTACCACGCCTCAGCGTACCAGGGGGCATTGTGGAAATAAAGTCGTGCATGGACATACGGACAGCGGGCTTCTGTACCTGCGTACGTGAAGCACTTGGTTCGAGCGTGCTTTGCAGTCGGATAACCACTCGGAGAAGATGATCATGAGGACGTGACCACCGCAGCGCTTAGTCAGCGATTAGCCCTTGTAGTAGGGACGCACCGCGACGGAGGCCCAGAGGTTGCTTCGGTCGCAGTAGCAAGCTTCGCCTGACCATGATGGTGTGCTTGCTACCCATCAGGGCTCCCATCTCTCTGCCGCCGCCCCTTTTCGTGGCTGCGCCACGGGAGGATATTACACCCCTCTACCCTCTTGCCCCTCGTTGTTTGGGTGTGTTCTGGTCCCTCGCGGCCATCTTTCGGATGCTTCTGGAGAGGAAGGAGGAGGAGGAGGAGGAGGAGGAGGAGGAGGAGGAGGAAAGGAGGAGGAGGAGGGGGAGGAGCAGGAGGAGGAGGAGGAGGAGGAGGAGGAGGAGGAGGAGGCCTCTCGATGGCTTCTCGGGGCACCCTGGGGGCCAAAGCTGGGCCGTGGACAGGACGCCTGTGAGGGGGGGGGCGGTCCTCGGGGTCCTCGGAGGCCTCGCGGGGGTCCTTTTGGTTGTGTTTGTGCGACCTCCTCAGGCCCTTGTTTGGGGCCTCGTTGGGGGCAGGTGCAGTACCCGCGACAAACATACCGGGAAAGCCACCGACTCTTTCGGGGCTCTCTCTGTGGCTGAAGTTTGCGGACGCCCCTGGGGCGGGGAAGCACGAGGGAAGGGGGGAAGGGAGGATGAGGATGGACAGGAGGAGAGGGAGGGAGACGAGGAAAAAGAGGAGGAGGAGGAGGAAGGAGTGGAGGAGGAGGGAGGGGAGGAGGAGGAGGAGGAGGAGGAGGAGGAGGAGGAGGAGGAGGAGGAGGAGGGAGGAGGAGGAGGATGAAAGGAGGAGCGGAGGAGGAGGGGGAGGGGGGAGGAGGCAGAGGAGCAGAGGAGTGGAGGAGGAGGAGGAGGAGGAGGAGGGAGGAGGAGGATAGGGAGGAGGAGGAGGAGGAGGAGGAGGAGGAGGAGGAGGAGGAGGAGGAGGAAGAAGGGGAGGAGGAAAGGGAATGAAGGGGTGCCGTGAGCTAACTTGTACGCTCACGGGGCCCTGGTGGGCTCACGGTGGGGCTGTCTATAGGGAGGCAACCAGTTCCCGCGGTCGTCCGGCGCTGTGTGGCTTGCTTTGTGGCTCGCTTTGTGGCCAAACGGCCGAAGAAAACCACAAGACGGCTCAAGATGGCGCCGAGACGGCCCAAGAAAACTCCCAAAGAATCCCACGACGCGCCCAGACAGCCCGAGAATACACCAGAAGCTCACAAGAGGACGACAGAGGCCCCCAAGAAGCCCCCCAACAGGCCCCAAGACAACCCCGCGCGGCGCCAGGAGCCCCCAGGGTAGCCCCATAGGGGGCCCGAAAACAGCTCCAGATGGCCTCAAGAGGGCCTCCGAAGCCCTGGAATGCTGCTGAGGCCTGGCTCTGGGATCGAGCTGAGCCTGCCAACCAACCGAATCTGAAATCCAGAATCCGGAGAGCTGCCGAAGCCTGGCGCTGGGAATGAGATAGATGAAGAGGAAACAAATCCCAATCTGGAATCGGGAATTCCCAACCCTGCATCCGGAGTGGTGCTGAGACCTGGCTCGTGGATGGAGCTCCCTAGCCTACAAGACACCTAGAATATAGACATTAGACTCAGGGATGTCATGATGTCTCACGCACTGCTCAAGTTTCAATAATAATGGAAGCTGTAATGTGTTCCTGCCTATTTTGGTAGAAACTGAACCAACGGCTTGAGACATCCTTACATGTCCGTGTCTATCCGTGTTGCGAAACGTGTCCAAATGTTAGCGTCCATTCGTGACTATTTCTTCATTATTGTGTAACTACCCGTGTCTATCCCGTCGTGTCTATGTTTTGGAACGTGTGTCCATGTTCCCGCGATCCATCCACGTTAGGGAGCCATTGATTCGTGCGTGTGTGTGTGTGTGTGTGTTGTGCATATTTGTACCTGCATGCGCGTGCGCTTGTAAATACACATGTATATATATATATATATATATATATATATGCATGAACGCATAGGTATATACATATAGACGTGTATATACATCCACACGAACATGCATGTATGTGTATATACCTGTATGAGCTCATGGGAAAGCGAGAGAAGGAGAGAGAGAGAGAGAGAGGAAGAGAGAGAGAGAGAGACCAACAACCACAACACACAAACAACAGAGAAATATATATAGAGAGAGAGAGAGATAACGAGTGAGAAAGGGAGAGAAAGAGAGAGAGAGAGAGAGAGAAGAGGAGCGCTGAGGAGTGCACTGGAGTATGGGCGAGTCTGGAGGAGTGCGGAGGAGCGCGATGGAGTGGGGGGGACTGCAGTGGAGCGCCGTGGTGTGCGAGGGTGTGGGGAAGAGTCTGAAGGAGTGTGGTACCGAGGAGTGCGATGGAGTGGGAAGGCGTCGGGAGGAGCGCCGAGGAGTGAGATAGAGTGAGGAAGGTTTCGAGGAGTAGAGAGTAGGGAGCAGTGCGATGGAGCGGGGAAGAGTCCAGAGAAGTGAGTGGGAAGGCGCACCGAAGAAGGTGAGGGCGCGCATGTGTGCGGGACTACATATATGTGTCTGTACACGCACGTGTGTTAGTATACACGTTCAGACACTTGTAAGCGTGTCTATCAATCGTTCATTTTGTTGCGCGAGCCCGTCTCCGGAGATGTGTTCGAGTCCATTCGTGTCTAATTCGTGTCTTTTTAGTACGCGTGTCGTATATTCGCGTCTATTATTGACGCTCGTGTCTATGTATGATACGGCTTCGCGTTTATGTTTTACATATATTCGTCTCTATCGTGAAAACCACACTTCGTGTCCATCTCTATTTCTTCCCGCCTGTGTTTTTACAGTGTGCGTGGCACGAAGAAGGAGTCACGAATACTTTTAGAAATTGTACAGTCCTTTGAAGGAAAACGCCAAGAAGATAGACACCGTCTCTTGTATAGGCTATGGATTCCGGATTCCGGATTGGTCTTCCTTATTTCTCATTTCTCTTTTTATCCCAAGCGTTTGCTCAGTAGCATTCTGGATTCCGGATCTGTCTGGCTGACAGGCTCAGCTCCACCCCAGCGCCAGGTCTCAGCAGCACTCTTGATTCTGGATTCTGGATTGGATCTCTTTGGCCGGACCCTCCTGATCACCTCTCAGGCCATCAGTGTCGCGTATAACAGTCACAATCACACACCTTGCGTCCTCCACTCGTCCCGCCTCCTGTTTTCTCTCCTCTCCCCCTTCCCCCTTCTCTCGCCCCCCTCCTTCCACTCTTGCCTCCTTCCCCCCTTTCTATTCAAATGCGTTGCTCTGGGCGATGCGCCAGCGCATCTTGCCGCGAACCGTTGCGCACATCTGCTTTCGGGGAGCGGCTTGCCGCTGGCCCACTGGGAAATTGCGCCCGCCCCCACCCCCCGCAGTGGTGCAGAAAAGGTTTTCTCCGATGGCCGTCGCCCACTTTTCTCATGCCGACACTGCCTGGCCTCACTTGTGGCAGAGCGCACCTCCCGCCTGTGCTGCGTGGGGGCCGGCGCTGCTGACTTCGCCGCCTCGGCTGCGCGCCGCATCGCACAGCTGCCCAGGGCGCCCGACGAGTGGGGCGCCAAAGGTGACGACGACCACAAATCGGCACCGACGCTTCCGCGTTCAGTCATGGCCATGGTCCTCGTTCTATCTCCCTCCGCCCTTCAGGGGCAACGTCAGGGGGGGATCAAAGCTCAGGCGGAGCGCATCGACCCCCGATCGCCGACTGGTCGCCGATAGCGGCCTGACGGCCCGCCCCGCCGGCAGGGATCCCTGCACGTCTTCGCGAAGTTCGGGCAGCTGACCATCGGGGCCCTGCAGCAGGTCCGCAAGTGCCCCAGCATGGGCGACGGCCCTGAGGCACCCGTCTCCCCGGGGTCTTCGAGGGGAGGGGGTGGAGGGGAGGGCGGAGGAGGAGGAGGAGAAGGAGGAGGAGGAGGACCCAGGGTCGAGATCCGTATCCACTTTGGCTCAAGTATGCATTTCCAAGGTTGTTCCAGGGAGACCGCATTGCTTCTTCCGACCAGCTGCCCTGCCTCTCCAACTCCCGCTATCACCTCGCCGAACTTGCCCCCCGCTGTCTTCGGGCTAGCGCTCGCGGCTGCAGAACCCGAGTGCGCTTGCGCGCGTGGCCGCCCGATCCCGTCGGATCGCCCGCCCCCCGCGCCCCTTGTGTCCGTCCGATCGCAGGCTGCGACTCCCTGGTGTTCGCCTAAGCTCGGGCGAGGTCGCGCATGCCCCCCTCGGCGACCATGCGATCGCTGGCGGAGCTATGGGCCTTTGTCTTTTTCAGCCAAGGCGTATTGCAGCAGTGAGCTGAACAATTTCTCGCAAGGTATCCTCCCGCCCTTGACGGTTCGTCTTTCCCTCCCCCTGCTTGTCTCGACTTCCAACGACTCCTCCGGAGTCGAACCGAAAGCGCCCCCGGGCCCGACGGGCTTCCTTGCAGTGCCTGGAGGCGAGCGCCTCACGGCGCTGACGTCCTTTTTCGCTCGATGAGACGGGCCCAGTCGGATCACTCCCTCCTCCTCCTCCTCCATCCTCCGCCTCCTCCTTTCCCTACTCCCTCCTCCTCAGCGCCCCCCTCCTCCCCTCCTCCTCCACCTCCCCCTCCTCCTCCTTCTTTCCTCCTCCTCCTCCTCCTCCTCCTCCTCCTCCTCCCCCTCCACCTCCCTCCTCCCTCCTCCTCCTCCTTCCTCTCCTCCCTCCTCCTCCTCCTCCTACTCCCTCTCCTCTCCTCCTACTCCTCCTCCCTCTCCATCCCCTCTCCCTCCTCCCTCCTCCCTTCCTCCCTCCCCTCCTCCCTCCTCCTCCTCCTGCGGGTACTGCGGGTACCAAGAGCGTCAGCCATACAGAGCACAGTTGGCACGTGGGCACGAACCCAGAAGATTAGAGTTGAGTAGTGAAATCCCCCAGGGCAGTGCCGCTGACCTGCTGGGGGGAATGAATTCTGCACTGCGTCATCGGAAGCTTGCCTTTGAGGAGGGCACGCTTCTCTTTCGAATTTTCATTCGGCACACACCTCGACCTCAGCTTGATGGCTTTCTGAGTCCCAAAAGCGCCGCACCTGGAGCAGAACACAACAGGAAAACCAGACTCCACGACAAAGGCGACGTGGAGGGAATGCCCGAAATGTAATGTCCAGGGGTCTTCAGCACTTCCAGGAGTGAGGGATTCAGGCCGATGCAAGGGGTCTTAGTGCGTGGTGACACAGTTCTGAGACAGTGACTGCACCGCCAGTGATCTATGTGCCAGTAAGGGATGTGTGGAGACGTAAGAGTCATACGACGGCCACGGGGTCTCACAAATTCCTTATCCAGCACTCCGAACAGATCACTGGGGGGGGGGCCAGAGGGCAAGGACTTCCCCCATCCCCACAAACAGCTCCTTAAACTGAGCAAACGTGGAATCTACAGTATCGGAGAACGTGGGGTCAAAATCGTGTGACCTGGCCCCTTGTTTGGCGAGCCAATCGCCATATTTTTTACCACAAATATCTGCTTTATCATTCTCGCTGATGGCAGAGTCGTCTGCTCTGTGGGCCTTCACCTTATGGAAGGACACCCATTCACCAACATCAAAAGTCGCGGCTACCTCGCGCCAAAAATGAGCGGCATCACACTTGGCCGCGAGAACCTGGTCAGGATGGGACTGACCACGGAGCAACGCAGCGAAGTCCACGGCTAGCGGCTCTTTGGGCCCGCTGGTATCTTCGCGCTCCGTGTACAAATGTGCCATCATCAGAAATGGGCGTTCTGCAGACATTCGCCCTTAGATTGGGGGTTGGATCACCCACATGTCCCGGCGGATGAATCCTGTCTCTATGGATGCCCCGGCCCCCATTCCCCATTTTTTCTTTGACCTCTTGGTGTGACCAGCACTTCTGCTCCCACGTCCGTCTCACTTTCCGCTTCCCTATCCCTGACTGTTCTGTCGCCCGTTTCGGCCTATCCCGCCGCGGCAGGAGTTCTGAGGGGAAGGAACGACGACATAAACATAAAAACTCTGAGGTCCGCGCGGATTCCTCGGATGAGCGCTGGACCTCCCTCTCTGGCGCGCGGAGCGCGCCAGGGGCGGCGCCGGAGGCGCCGCCAGGGAGCCCCAGCGCCGATCCGAGAAATCCGCGCGGACCTCCGAGTTTTTATGTGTATGTCGTTGTTCGTTCCCTTAGACCGTGCCAACTCCCATCCAATGACGGGCGTGCTTTTCTGCCCCGTGCCTGGGCGCTTCGCCAGGCGCGCCGTGGCGCACCTGCGGAGGAAACAAGACCAGAAGGAGAGACAGACGAAGTCGCCGACCCCTGGGGGTTCTCATCATGCCTGTGTCATTGCTCGTTCCCCGAGTTCTATCGCGCAAGCGGTGCCGGTGCTCTCCGCAACGACGTGCGACGGGCCCCCAATGCCCGCTGGAGGCCAGAGTGCCTCCCGATCCCGGCCTGCACGCCCGCCACCACGCGCGGGTCGCCCCGCGCCGCGGCGGCGCGAGGACGTGGGACCCCTCGAATACGCTCGAGGGCCCGGGGCCGAGAGCCCCTCTTCTCCTCCTCCTCTTCGTCGTC